TAGATTGGTCAGATTGCGCATCCTCGCTGTATGGCATGGTGGGGGTAACCAATGAAATACCTCCTCCAAAATATAAGGAGCTTAGCGTGAAATTGAAAATGTCATTACATACATTCTGTCAAAAAAGTACCGGGAATTGGTCAATAAAACACAAAATAGTTATTATTCATTCAAATTTATTGTATCGCCTTCAAAGTAGGCCCCTTCCGAAATAATACACTTATGCCAACGAATAATCCAATCATAAAAACATTTTTTAAACGCATTTTCCGGAATCGACTTCAGTTCTCGCCGCGAATTCTCTTTTATGTCTTCTATCGACTGAAAATGAGTGCCTCGAAGTGGTAATTTGAGTTTTGGAAAGAGAAAAATGTCAGCGTGCGCCGGAGCCATATCAGGTGAATACGGTGGTTGTTCGATGATATTTGTAAAGTTTTTGGTCAGAAATTCGACCTTTACGCGATTGAGTTTTTGAAGAAAATTGAGGTCTTTTGGAACTAGTCGAGCGGCAACGCGTTTCATGCCCAAACAATCATGTAAAATGGTACGAATTGATTCGTGAGACACCGTAAGTTCAGCGGCTATCTCTCTCAAACTGGAATGACGATTTTCAGTCACTATTTCCTTCATTTTATCGATGTTAACTTCAGTTGAAGACGTTGATGGCCGACCAGAGCGAGGCAAATCTTTCACCACATCTCGACCGCTTTTCAATGCACTGTACCACTCATATGCACGTGTTTTTGATAAAGTCGATTCACCGTAAGGCTTCTGTAACATCTTCAGCGATTCGGCACACGAAATTCCATTTGCAATACAAAATTTGAGACAAATTCTTTGTTCGATCTTTTTATCCATTGTAAATATCGCAAAACACACTTGAGATGAACTGACGAAATCGAACACTATAAACAAATTAAATGACAGATGGCACTCAAACTCCGCGTCAATATAGAGGACAGTTATGCCAACTTAGCGACAAAAAGAATTTTGAGAATTCCTTTAAGCGGGCTTTTTAAATGATCAATTCCCGGTACTTTTTTGACAGAATGTACAATACATCTTCGTCGCTGCAATGGCAAGTAATGACCGCCGAACGAAGCGATAACTGACTTACTTTTATCATCAAATCTGTTATAGATTCTAAAGTAATATCTTCTTCGTGCAACCAATAACTTTTACATATGTTTTGATTGTTACAATACTGTACACATATCAAATAATAGGACACGTAATGAGACAATAATTATTTATTTTTATTACATAGTACGACAAAAATCGATTTTTTTCCTTCTATGAAATAATCAAAGAGATTCTGAAAGTATTATTAGATGTAAAAAAAATACCCGTGTCTCGGCGTTTTACTAAATCAAGTCGTTAACCTTTTTTAAGTATCATCAAATGTCTTTTTATAATATTGTACAGCACAGGTTTCCCCCATGAAAAATTCAAAGAGATTCTGAAAGTAGATGTTAGGAAAGCATACCCGTGTCTCGGTACTGACTTACTTCGACATTGTCGCGACCTAAACAAAGCGACATCAAAAATTTCCTGGGCAATAAAAAAGCCGACAATTACAAAAAATTGTTGCTGAAATGATTTCGGCTTTTCAGGAATTGCAAATTGACATGTGTCGCTCAAAATACATTTTCTTCACAATCATTTGGATTTTTTTTCACCAAATTTGGGTGAATTTAGTGAGGAACATGATGATCGCTTTCACCAAGACATTGCGATCATTGAGAAACGTTTCAAAGGAAAAGACATCAAACACATGCTTGGTGAATACTGTTGGTCTATTGTTCATGATACAAAACCGAAATCATACAAACGACCAAGATTCTTATAATAATTATAATTATAATTGTATTATTATTATACAAAAATTTGAAAATATATGAAAAAAATAATTCTTAGTTTTTTTTATATTCGGTCTCAGCATAATTTCACATGCAAAAACGTCAATTATTTATTTTAAAAAATTATTATATAATTTAAAACAATTGTAAAAAGCCAATATGAAGCAAATACGATAAACGGTTGCATAAAAAACATTAACGACTTGATCTGGTAAAATGCCGAGAGAGAGAGAGAGAGAGAGAGAGAGACACGGGTATTTTTTTACGTCTACTTTCAGAATCTCTTTGATTTTTCACGAGAGAGAATATGTGTTGTACTGTGTTATAGTTTATTGTAGTAGTATAGTATATTGAGTTTATGAATAAACTTATTATATTTGCTATTATTGGCACGCGTTGAGCCACTGTTGTTGAATTTCAGGCTTCTTTAGAAATGTAAAATACTTTATGTTCTTTGCTGCAGGATTAATAGATCCATTTCACCACGGCATAATTTTACTTTGCAAATGAATTAAGATATTTCTCTAAGAAATTGAGTTTCTACAGATTTCTTTGAAATTTGGATATTACATTTAAAATAATTTTATTTATATATATGGTTAAAATTTCAAAGACCCTAGCGGTCCTGAAATAGAGATATTCACCTTCAAAGTTTCAGCTTTTAATATGTAAACTCCTGTACCAAACTCTGCCGAAGTAACGTTTTAATAGTTAGCAGCGAAAATCTTCTACAGATTAAAAAAAAATGTAATGAAGAAATATTATAGACATCTTATAAAAAAAATAAGGAGACCTAGCGGTGCCGATTCTGAATTAGAATAGTTTAAATTTGTAATTTGATAAAATTCTCCTTTTTGCATGCCGAACGGCGAGACAGGGATATACTGTTACCACATTTCAACTGTCTTCAGTGCGAACTAGTGTTCGTGCACACATATACGATATTTATGCGTGTATGTGTACGTTCGCCTCAAAAGTTTCTCTCTTCAGAGAGAACGCGCGGAGAGGCATATTCGTAGATTGTACGCGATTAATTTTCTAGCGCGATTGTAGCCGGAGAAATACCTTAAACTGAATTAAACTTATAAACTGCAAAGACTAATCAAAAAGACATGGATACGGACACGGCACACGGTTTCGGGCGACTTCATGCTGTATCGTGCTCCTTCGTGTGCATTTTGAAGGACGTATCCCATTGTTTGAGTAGAGCGACGACCGTGCATCCACGGGAATGCTACATCTTATATATTTTCACCATAGGTCAGATATACATATAAAATATTTTGAAAATTTAAATTTTAAATATGCATAATTATTTCTATTCAAATTGTGGAAAATGACTTTTTCACAATCCGGCCGGATAGACGAATTATCCGCTCGGATTATAAAAAACAGGCCGAATAGCACGGATATCGGATATTTGCCGAATATCCGTTGCGTCCCTATGCTTGCGGAACGTAGCGAAAAATGATGGACGATTTCTGTTTGAAGAGATTTAGAGATATTACTATATTTATCGCGCGAAATTTATTATAAGCGTAAGGATACTTTTACTCGAAGGGATCGGAATTATAGAGGACATGATACAAGAGGGATGGGATCGATATACGCGGCTATCGTTTATATTGTATCAGCTGTTATCGATGCGCCATCTTTATCCCCTTGGTGGGCCCTGCGTCAAAATGTGTATTCGTAAAAGATAAAGTCAATATTACGGAGATCGTTGTACGATAAGAGAACCATTGTTGTAATTATTACTTGCTATGAAATTATTATATCAATGCTGTTTTACGATTACTACGGTAGTTATTTTACCTAAAAAAAGTTAAAAGTTTTTCTTACTGCGATTTCTCTATTGTACCACTTATATACAACTTGATGCACGAATTTTTCGAGAATAAATATTTATGAAATGCTCCATTCTTAAGGAATGTTTGCTTTTCTATGCTTTTAAACATTCCCCACTCCATTCTACGAATTAAATTATTACTTATTCATGCGCGTTTTAGTTTACAATATTTATTTATTATGAGATTTTATTTGCGCTTCGGACCACAGTCGGATGTACGTTTGAGTTATCTTGTACATGTCCGTATTCTAAATCGGGAGGATAAAAAAGAATCTTGATCTCCGATTAGTTTTGTCAGACGACAGCTTGCTGGAGTTATTAATGAGTTTCATTAACGAGATAAATCTTAATAAACACAAAATAGTCGTCGAAATGTATATGCGAGTATTTTTTTCTTTTTCTACCCGGAACGACCTCCTGCAACGACTTACCGCATCGACTGCGGGTCAGAGGGTGGATGCAATGACGTATCGATCGGCTCGAGGTCAACTGGGGTCACCAAAGTTCATAATGCGTTTGGTGCAAAAGTAAGCCGGTGTCAGTCCATATCGCAGAATACCACGCGCCGCTAAAAAGTTTTTGTTCTTATAATGCTCTTCTTTTTAATAGATTATTGAAACGTTAATCGTCGGCAAGTAAAAAATAATGCTGCTAAACAGAGAGATTCGGAGATATTTTGATAATTTGCACAAACCGAAGTCCTCGAAATAGTGCTGAAATTAGTAAATACTTAGTAAGAATATTATTAATTTAATTATTTTTTTAAACATTTAAATTTTTTTAGAATGAAATGAAACATAAATTTCTGTTATTTTTAAGTTTTGCTACTTAAGGATGATTCGATTTCGAATTTGCTGGCTTGTTAAAATAATTTTTTACGAAGCAGGATGTTTCAAGGTGTTCTTATCTGCATGCGGTATTTTATGTCGCGTGAAATTATCTCGAAGTGCGTAAATATCTTTTTTTAGCTCTTGTATATTCGGTTTAAAAGAAAGGCATTATCTGCAGACACTGGTAGTGTCTCGGCGCTAAGCTACGCGCAGCGACACTGCCTAAATAATAACGCACGATATATATATATATATATATATATATAATATTCGCCTGCAATACTTTGCAATTTAATATTGAAAACCAATATTAGATTCAATTAAACCGTTTGTTAATAGATATACCGCTCTCTGTTAGTTAATTCTGGTAAGTCATGTTTACGGAATCGTCAATGTGATTGCCACGATATTTTCCTTTTAACGAATAGTATACATGAAAGTACTGGCTTTTTGTTTGATTAGGATGATTGGTGCTATGCCAGCGGTGGCTGTCCGTCATGAGCGTAGGAGGCAAGAAAAAAGGCTGAAGCGACCAAGTCAACTCTATTTAGGAGGGCAATGGTTACCACCCCTTCAAGGCTCGCCGCCCACTCCTAGTCCGCATGGGCACAACAATTTGGAGCCCTTGCCTGAACTTTATTTATGCGGCAAGGTAACAATTAACTGTAATAATATATCGATTGACGTGAAGTCAATGTTCGAGGAACTATACTTGACCCTTAATAATTACGGTTTCCTAACTTACAAACTGTACAAGCTCAGAAATAGTGAATGGAGTAGAAGTTGCAAAGAAGTTTACAGACTCAATTTCGTATGGGTTTATTTTTCTTTTACAATTAAGGACAATGAAACTTAATATCTTAGTCTTGCGCTAAAAATGATCAGTTGCTTGTAATACGTATAAAATAATAATCGAGGGTTGATTTAAACTTTATACACGGAGAACATTTTTTATTATATTTTATCACAAAATTCGCTATAAAATTTACCATGTTAATGATAAACATGGGACAATTTGGCAAACTATTAAATATTATCATAATAAGACAAGAATCTTCTGAAATATATGAAAGACATTTTATAAACTACCAAGAAAATAAAAAAAATAAAAAAATTACCAAAAAAAATGTAAAATTATCTGGACAATAGTTTAACACAATACTGTCTGTCCTTATTCACTAACTTTTATAACGTTTATTATATCTATTTCTATATTGAAGAAGACTCAAATTTAAGGTCAAAACGCGTCTGTATTTTAATTTTTAAATATATTTTATTGTTACACACACACGAACAACTAGTATCGACCTACATATTTTTATTTTATTTTATTTTTGATTTAATTCGGAGTTTTTATCTTATTATAGATATTAAATTGTAAATTATTCTAATGCAAAATAGATACAATATGCTTTTCGTAAAGTTTACACACTACATTTTAATTAGGGATGATGAAGATTTGTCGAATAACCGAATACCGGGTCATATCTGATAAAGCCGGATAACTGGATTTCATTCGGCAAAACCATATATAACCATATAAGCCGGATAATCCGGAAATTGTACAAAGAAATTGAAAAATTGAAAATCTAATTGTTTTTTTTACATTAAAAAGAGAATTTTTTATATAAACCATTGTAAGTATACTATAAAGATTTAATATTTAGATAGGAGATAGAAACCCAGATTATATTACCTGATAATATGCAGAAATGCTCATCTTTCCTCTCTATGAAAAAAATAAAATACTTAAAATACTTAAAAAATAATATGTAACAAAAACGTAATACACAAACAAAGAATAAAAGCATAAAAATTAATAAATTATTTCAATTTAATTTTTAAATTATATTACATTATACGGAGTGGGGCAGTAACTCTGTTCACTTAGAATAGTTTCGCTATATTTAGAGATATGAAATATTATAATTATTGAAGTGTGTTGTTGTATAGTATCAAGGAGGGTATAATATACTACTAATAGTTTTTTATGGGTGGAGGCGCTTCCGAGATTTCAAAGTCATTTCCACTTTTTTAAATGAAATTGTATGATTTTTTTTACACAATATGGTTCCTCTAATTATTCTGCATATAAAAGTATTAAGGTAATGACATAAAAAAACTAGTAGTTCGCAAAATATTTTATACTTTATTCTAGCATAATTAAAATAAAATGTCAAATAACTCGTAAACTATTAATTTTTTGATAATCGTACCTTCATATTTTTATAAAAATAACAAAATTATAAAATAACAAGATAAATAAATTAATGGAAGAAAACACATAGTTGCTTATTTTAAAAAATTATCCTTTTTGCACTCATATTCTTTTTAAAGCAACTATGTGTTTTCTTTCCATCAACTGATTCATCTCATTATTCTATTCATAAAAATATTAAGGTACGATTATAAAAAAATTAATAGTTTACGAGTTATTTAATATTTTATGTCAATATATTTGCTAGAATTTATAAAATATCTCATTAACTATTGATTTTTTGATATCACTACCTTAATACTTTCATACGCAGTATAATTAAAGAAATCATATGATGTATAAAAAAATCACAATTCCATTTAAAAAAGTGGAGGTGACCTTGAAATCTCCGAAACGCCTCCATCCATAGAAAAACTATTAGTAATATATTGTATTCTTCTTGATGCTATATAAGAGGCTCCGCACAATAAAAGGAACAGGGAACAGAGAACAGAGAATAAGAATTTCAACCTATCAGAAATCATGTATTGTGGAATACACACTGCGTATTCAGGTTGAAATTCTTATTCTCTGTTCTCTGTTCCCCGTTCCTTTTATTGTGCGGAGCCCCTAACTACAATAAATATATTATTTCCAGGGTTGGCAAGTAACACGTTATTTGTAACATCGTTACAAGTTACTTTTTTCGATAACGAATGAGTAACAACGTTACATTTTCTTCTGAGTAACGTTCGTGGTAACGCAATTTCATTTTTGGGTGACGATAACGATTTCACTAGTTACTTTTATAGTTACTTTATTTCTAACTACATAAAAGTTTAGTCGTAATTATAGTTTTAAAAAACAGAGATGAAACATTAACGGTCTGATTGGCTGTCTAAATCACGTGATCGCGACGCCTTTTTTTCATTGCATTCACAGTTTACACGTATAGACTCTCTATGTATTCGCTGGGTGCATGAACTTGGAAGGGATTCAAAAATCTACTCCAGCGCGCTATGCGGCCAAACTGAGCATTAATTCAGGCTGTTATTTTGTTGATTTATTTACGTTATATTGATATAATTAAAACAAAATGACTCACTGTAGTTGTTGCGATAATAACTGCAAAAATACTAGCAGAAATATCAAGTGCAAATTCTACAAATTTCCATCTGCAAGTTGGAAATTAGAGCAAAGAAATAAATGGGTTGCTGGGATCAGGAGAATAAAGTAAGCACCATAACCTTACTTTCTGCAATGCTGCATTGAATATGTTGTGCATATCACATGATAAGGTTTACATTTTAATACATTCATTTTTAGTGATGATGGTTCACCATGATCTCCAAAACCTTACGATTACATATGTAGTAATCATTTTGTTGGTGATTAAAAGTCTGAGGAATTATCAAGTCCAAGGGTACCTACAATATTTCCTACAGCGTACAGGGCAAAAAAAGTAAATGAAGCTGCAATTATAAGTAGGTAAATAATCATAATTAATGTGTACAATTAGCAAAATAAGTTTTAGTTTAATTAAATTATGAAATTCTTTTTATTATAGGCATAAACGTTTTATGGAATAAAGGCTTTGACAAGAACCAACACCTACTGTCATATCAACTAAAAATTTACAGTTTAAGGAAGATATGATTGAAGTGATTACTAATAATATTAGTACAGAATCTTAATTATTAAGAAAGTTGACATTAACCCTTAATATAGTAACGATAAGGATCGTTTGAGAACGGGAAGAGAGAGATCGAGACCGAATGATTGAAGACTGTCTGCGTTCACGAGTGTCACAACTTTGAGTCCGGATCTATAATAGGGTTTTAAGCTTTAAACCATAAGAAATGGACGAATCACAGTCGCTTATTCTTCTCGGATTCGACTGTAATTGGTCAATTTCTTACGGCTTAAGGCTTAAAACACCTATTGTAGATCCGGGGTAAACATTTATTGCACAGAAATCAGCAATAGTCCATATAAGCTCAAGCTTGAACAGTTTGATCGAAACTCTGCGGTATGGCCTGATGGCGAGAGATCAGCACCCAATAGCCACGTGGCGCGCACGAACTCTCTCGAACGAGAGTTCTATGACGAAGCACTCAATTAATTCACGCTCCGGCTTCCCCTTCACTCGCGATTCAACGTGCCTAAAGAATAGTCAGCGCACCAACGGGATGATCCCGATTGACCACATCTCGATTGGACATCACCAATCACAGCGACCGGTGCTTAGGAGCTTTGTAGTCTCAAGCGCTGCGAGTGGCTCGTGTCCAATTGAGCCGTGTCCAACTGGGTGCCACCCCGCACCAACGCACTAGGACAGCCGGGAGCGACTTCGAGTCGAGTATGCGTCTTACTTCAGTTAATTCGCGCACACCTTCGACACGTCTTACTGTTCCGACTTATCAGCGAGGAAGCAAGCGAAGAGAGATCAAACGGAAACGAAACGAGGCACGGGCCCCATTTTTCAGCGCCAGCGCTCTCTTTTCGGAAGTAAGAGGCGCCGCGGTGCGATATCGATCTAACTATTGATCGCGCGAGTTGATCGTTTCAGGGAGTGGCGCCGTTCCGCGATTGAGGCGCACCGCGAGACTATTTCACCGCGCGCTTTGAGTTTTTGGCCATGCCCGAACAGAGCCCCAAGCGGGGGGGGGGGGGGGGGGGTCACTTCGGGTGAAAGTTGCGTGCCCCCAAGCAGAGGAGGAAATGGGGATGAGATTATTATTATATTTTCTTTCTGTATACTCATTCCTCCCACCCAACTGCTATATAAACCGCGATAAACATGTAATATACTAGAAATTTATAGACTTTCGTTTCCGGTAGCGAAGAGTGAAGGCGCACTTTGTGTGAGAGGTGAAAACGTATGAGTTAAATAGCGTTTTCGGCCCGGCCAGGTTTGCACCAACTTGGGTTGGATTAATGGCGTTTTGTGCTCTCCTATTGGTAGAGCGGGTGAAATCAACCAATAGGAAAGATTAATCCAACCCAGGTTGGTGCAAACCCGATCGGGCCGAAAACGCTAAAAGAGTGAGTGTGAGTGAAAGAGATCGAGAAAGAGGGCGAAGGTTGAAGGGAGACATAACAGAGAGCGTGGAGGCCCGTCTACAATACACGGAGTAAGAAGTAAGAGTAAGAAATTGACCAATCACAGTCGATTACACTTTGTGTGAGAGGTGAAAACGTATGAGTTAAATAGCGTTTTCGGCCCGGCCAGGTTTGCACCAACTTGGGTTGGATTAATGGCGTTTTGTGCTCTCCTATTGGTAGAGCGGGTGAAATCAACCAATAGGAAAGATTAATCCAACCCAGGTTGGTGCAAACCCGATCGGGCCGAAAACGCTAAAAGAGTGAGTGTGAGTGAAAGAGATCGAGAAAGAGGGCGAAGGTTGAAGGGAGACATAACAGAGAGCGTGGAGGCCCGTCTACAATACACGGAGTAAGAAGTAAGAGTAAGAAATTGACCAATCACAGTCGATTATTCTTCTC